GTCTAGACGTGTCACTTTTTTGAAAAAAGTACCCTCCTACACTATACCTTCCACCCTTGTCCCTATTACTAAGGATAAACTAGTTCACGTTGACCCATTTCCTTCTGATTAGTTTGTTTCTGATCTTGAGATCTGTACCTTACCTCTTCCTAGTACCTCTAATATCTCGCCAGCTCCTCCCTCTCTAGCTCCCATTTCCCCTTCTCCTCTTCTTATTTATTAGCGTCGCAAAGCACTTCCAAGCTTGCCTGTCTCTAGCTCTACTGTCTCTCCAGCTGTTTCTTTGGATCCCGCTCCTCCTGCACATCATTTTTCCACGCGTGATCGTCGTCCTCCGAACTGGTATAGTTTTGGTAATATATGTTTTTCCCTTTCCTATCAGTCTTTTCTTTCTTGTCTTCATACTTATTTTGAGCCTAGGTCCTACAAGGAAGCTTGTCATGATCCCAATTGGATTGCTGTCATGAATGATGAGTTAACTCTTTGGCTAACACTCAGACTTGGGATTTGGTTCCATTACCTGCTGGCAAGAATGTTGTAGGCTGTAGATGGGTCTATAAGGTCAAAAACCTTTCTGATGGTTCTCTGGAACAATACAAGGCTCATTTGGTTGCCTAGGGCTTTTTTCAAGAGTATGGGATTGATTACGATGAGACTTTTTCCTCCATTGCCAAGATGACTACTATTCGCACTCTTATCGCTGTTACTGCTACCCATAACTGGCCTTTGCTTCAACTCGATGTCAAAAATGCCTTTCTGAATGGGCATCTTATGGAATAAGTGTATATGCGGCCTCCACCGAGTCTCTTACACCCTCCTGGTGTGGTTTATCATCTTCGCCATGCTCTCTATGGTCTTAAGCAGTCTCCTCGTGCTTGGTATAAGAGATTTCGCTCTGTTGCACTTCAGCTTGGGTTTTGCCCTAGTTATCATGATTGTGCTCTATTTGTTTAGCGTACTTCTGTTGGCCTTCTTCTTCTTCTCTTATATGTGGATGATATGATCATCACTGGCTCTGATTGTAGTACTATTGAGGAGGTTAAGCATCAGTTGTTTCAGGAGTTCGAGATGAAAGATTTAGGGTCTCTTTGGTATTTTTTTGGCATTGAGGTTGTTACTTCTCCTACTAGGTATCTTCTCTTTCAGACTAAAGATGCCCGCGATATTCTTTCTTGTGCCAATCTCACTGATGATAAGATTGTTGACACTCCTCTTGAGTTGCATGCTAAGTTTTCTACTTCTGATGGCATTCCTCTTAAGGATCCCACTTTGTATCGTGAGTTGGTTGGATGCCATGTGTATCTCACCATTACTCATCCGTATATCTCCTATGTTGTGCACATTCTCAGTCAGTTTGTTTCTGCTCCTCGTTCCACACACTGGGCTGCCTTACTCCGTACTCTGCGCTACCTTCTAGGCACTTTGTTGTAATGTCTGCTGTTATCTGTCTCTTCGGACTTGACTCTTCGTGTCTATGTTGACACTGATTGGGCCGGTGACATCTCTGATCGCAAATCCACTTCTAGTCTTTGTATTTTTCTCGGTGATTCTCTCATATCTTGGAAGAGTAAGGAATAGTCTGTTCTTGCTCGTTCCACTGTTGAGGCTGAGTTTCGTGCCATGGCTCATGCTACTTCCGAGATCGTTTGGCTTCGCTGGCTTCTCTCTGACATAGGCGTCTCTCTTTCTGATTCGACTCTGTTGTATTGTAATAATCAGAGTGCTATTCAGATTGCTCATAATTCAATCTTCTATAAGCGGACCAAGCATGTTGAAATTGATTGTCACTTTGTCTGACAACATCTTCAGGCTAACACTATTTCTCTCCCTTTTGTTCCGTCCTCTCTTCAGTTGACCGATTTTTTTACAAAGACTCACACTGTTGCTCGTTTTTGTTTTATTCTTGGCAAACTTTCGATACTTTCTATGCTCGCATCCTCAGTTTGAGGGGGGTGTGAAGATTATTGTATTTTATATTAGTCATTTAGGGTAGTTTCGTCTATTAGATTATTAGGGTTTGTTTCATTTAGGTTATATATATTGTACTCAGTGATTCATTATAGATATACGAATTAGATGTTCTTTGTTATCACTATAGAGGGTTGATTATCATTTTGGAGAAAGACATGAGGGATATTTACATAGAGTCTGATTCGAAGCAAATGGTCCTTCTTATCAATGAAGACGTACCGAACTCGTTCCCTTATAGAGCCCTTCTTGAAGACATCAAGTTCCTTATGGGCAAACGTAGCTGTTCTATCAAGCATATTCTGAGAAAGGCTACCTAAAGTGCAGATGTATTAGTTAATATGGGGGTCAATTATCTTGAAAACTTGGTAGTGCTTGAGGACCCCCGAATAAAATTGCAGACCTGTTGATTGCAGATATTGTTAGAGTATGAAGTGTTAGGGCCTAGTACTCTGTGCTTTACTTTTCTTTAATTTGCTAAAATTAGATTAGGAATAATTTAGAAAATAAAAATGAAATTAACCCATATAATCGATTTCATATAAACGTCATTTATGGGGCAATTTGAGAACTGGTTAAAGAAGTTAATTTTTTGACTTTCTAACTTTTTTACACAAAAAATCACAAAAAAATTAACTTTTTTTATTCAAAAAAGTCACCAAAAAATCAAAAAAAAAATTAAAAAATTAATTTTTTATCAAACTTTTCAAAACATCACTATATTCACCTACAATGAATAACATCAAATAATATATAAAATATAACCATATGAACCAAATGAGACTGTCAGAGAATGTTTGCCTGAGATAAGAACTGGCTAGGTGTAATAAGTCCAAGTGTCTTTCATGATAAGCAATAACCAAGCTTTTGATTTTATTAACGTCCACACTTTCTAAGCACCTTATAACGGACTATTTTAAAAAGAGGGTCGAAAGTCATCTTCTATCTTTTAGTCTTTATTGGTATGTCAGATTTTTTTTTGATATTTTAGTTTTTTTTCAGTTAAATTAGGCTTTTTAATTCAAGATAAAATATTACATTCAATTTAAAATCATTTTATTTTTTTTTTACAAAATTTAAAAAAGTTAAAAAAATCTATTTCAAACGAAACTTTTTAATTCCAGACTAAAATAGTCAAAAATTCAAAAAGTCAACCCATATCCCAGACGAACTCTTAGGCCTCGTTTGGGAACAGGCTAATTTAGTAACTTTTTGGCTATATAGTTAAAATATGAGCTAAAAAAACTAGTATGTTTGGAATGACTTTTTGGCTTTTTACGAAAAGATGTGCAAAAATGTAGAGAAAAAATAGAATCTTTGACTTTTTGGTATGGATTGTTGACTTTTTGACTAATTTAGTAACTTTTTGGCTAAAATGAAGAGTTCCCAAACGAGGCCTTAATTCATTTTAAATCATATCATCTCTCACATTTTTTATTAATTTTTTTAAAAAAAATCAAAAAAATCAAATTTTAATAATCTTTTCAAAATATCCCAATATCATATAAGAAATGCTATTCACATATGAAACTCTTTGCCACGTCATTTTTTAATAAAAATATTTTATACAAGGAATTCCAGATCTGGAATCTAAATCTGACTTATAAGTTTATTATATTAGGATTTTGTGATTCTTTACAATAATATATTTTAACCAAGACGATGATAATTATTTGATTGTTTTCCCAAAGCCCGACAACAAAATTAAATTAGATTCGCATTAAAGGCCAAAAAAACAAATTTATAATGAAGGTGCATATGGGATTAGTATACATGATTAAATGACAGTGCATAATGTCTAACCTTAGTTAGGTTTCATTATGTAAAGCAGATGATGTTGGGTTTAAATAGTTAACATGTTACATCATGAATTACGTACAGTTTATTTATTTATTGTTGCAGAGTCTAATTTTTGAAATTGGACAGTGATAGTAGAATAATATTATAGGTATTAATTAATATACTAATTAATATATTAAAAGATGATGTGATAAAATTTTAGAAATTTTAGGTATTTGTAATTTGTATAATAAGTGAGGTTAATAATAATGACACAACACTAATTAATACACCAGTGTGTATATTAATTGGTACATATAATACCACTGGTACAAATAATACCCACAATAAATAGCTTTGATAAAATAATCAATCAAAGGTCAAAGTCCTTTTGGAAGTAATATTTGAACCAAGTCTTATTGCTCATTAACTTTTTTCTTTTTTGTATTAATGAAGTAGATTTTTAATTAAAAATATGAATTGACAAGCAAAGGGGATTCGAAATGCTCCAAAAATAACCTTTCACATTAGACTTTTTGATAGCGTTTAATATGATTTGAGAATAGAATTTTATTTTAAATTTGAATGTGAAAAATTTGTTTTATGAATAAATTTTGAAAAAAATTTTAAATTAGATGAGAAATTTTTGATGTGACATATGATATTTTATACAAAAATTTACAACTCATAACAAAATATACAATTCAAAATTTTATTCAAAACTCATAAAAAATTTAAAAATTTCAAAAAAAAATTATTTAAAATATAAAAAATAACAGGTGACAATTGTAATAAAAAAAAAAAGAAAAAATATATATATTGTTTCGATCAACCAGCCAGACAACCGGGAGGATCGGTTAGTCCAAATTTTTCTTCCTTGAAAAGAATTTTCAAAAGTAGATGTAAAATTAATGTTTAAAAACACTAAACAAATAACACACTCAAAATAAAAGGTGGAAACGTGTTTAGAGTGCTTCTCCAAACACAACCTTTTGTTTTTCCAAATTTGAGCATTGGATTGGATGAAATTTTTTTGACTACTCTGTTCCATAGATCATAGACTAATACAATACCCAATTCTAAAAGCTTATCCCATATGTTTTTGTTTCTTTGTCACACCCATACCCCATTTTATATTCAAAATTACAGGTTCCATTAATGACTTCATATGAACCAAAATAAAAAAATTTAAAATTTAAATTCCACTGCGCATACGATTCTTTTCAGTGAGTGCAGTATCAGCAAAAACCATCTTACGAAAATGCTAGAACAATCGTGGAATAAAATCTACCATTGGAGAAACAGAGTAACTAGAGCCAAATTATATAATTCTAACCACCTTGGCTTGAAATTGCATAGCCATTGGCATGGTAATCAATTTTTTTTTTTTTTTTTTTTTGGATGTCACACCGACACCGGATTACACCAAACATCAACACTACAAGTTCCTAAAGCATTCATATCAATTGACTACACCATTAAAGAATTGTTACCACAATTTGAGAGGGAAGAGCAATGGGACTAAAACAAAAATCAATCTCAATCAGAAGTAAAGACTTTGGATTCTAACTGGTAGGCCTTGGTGAAGAAGGTGGGCCAGCAGAGGTATGTCGACATGATGCTGCTAAAAGTCGATGCCCCAACGAGCATGTTCATCACCACAATCTGCAGCTGAATGGCCTCCAGAGGCGAAGCTCCTCCCATGATGAGGCCGGTCATTGCACCGGGGAGTGATATGAGGCCCACGGTTTTGGCATTGTCCAATACCGGGGAGAGGGAAATGACCAGAGCCCTTCTCACCTGTTGAATTGTCGCCTGGCGTGGGGTAGCCCCGAGAGCCAACGCTGTCTCCACCTGTAAAAATAAAATTTCAAGATTTTCAAAACTACTTAACTTTTGGAAATGACATTGAAATCCAAAAAAAGAGAACAATGTAGTGAACTGAACATCGTGGGGGAAAGAAAACGAGAAAAGCCAGTTTGTCGATTTAAAAGGGAAAGTCAAGTATCAGAAATAAACTAATAGGGCTTCAAGAAACTACACTCAGCGACCCAAGGAGACTAACAACCCTTCTAGTGTTATTGACTCAGCTCGGTCTCAAACTTACGAAGGAGTCAGAAGAGCGTGGCTTGTTCAGATTATGCAAAGAATTGAAGTTGCCCTGTTCATGCTACTTTTTCGTGACTTTATTGCAAGACTCAAAATTTGTTAACAAAACTAAAAATTTCATGTTCCTTAATCACCATCCCATTGATTAAGGCCTCGTTTGGCAACCGAACTTTTTAGCCAAAAAGTCAAAAAGTTACTAAATTAGCCAAAAAGCCAACAACCCATACCAAAAAATTAAAGATTCTCTTTTCTCTCTACTTTTTGCACATATTTTCGTAAAAAGTCAAAAAGTCATCCTAAACATACTAGTTTTTTTTAGTTCATATTTTAGCCAAATAGCCAAAAAGTTAATAAATTAATCTGTTCCCAAACGAGGCCTAAGACAAGTAAAAAGTGTTTCCAGACTTATATGCAATATGTATAACAGTTTGCACATGCCTCAGTGACAAAATAAATGAAATTAGTTGACAAAAAGCTCTTCAAAGGAATCAAGGATAGGACATTGTCACAATAAGGAATAATATTGAAAAAGGAATAGTAAATAGCGAGTATTTTTTTGGATAGGGACATACCAGGTTCGTTTGGATTTTGATATCATCCCGGAGTCGTTTCATGGTAACTCCAGTGACTGTCATTGCATTACCAACAATCATCCCTGCCACAGGGATTATATACCGCGGAGTGAACTCGAAAACATTCAGAATAACTAGCAGGAACATTGTCACTGCAGTTCCAGCAAGAATGGAGACGCCTGCAATGTACATCCCACGAGGAACGTGTTTGGCACGTTGGCCTGCTGTATAACCGGCAACGCAAACCATGAAAAGATAACCCAATGATACGAGGAACGTGTTTGGCACGTTGGCCTGCTGTATAACCGGCAACGCAAACCTGCAGGGGCAGATTGAAACAAGGGAAATTGAGGGAAGGGGGGGGGGACCTAGCAGTACTTAGGTGTAAATTTGGTCCAGCCTGGCCCATGTCGGGCCTCGCAGACTCCCGCCAGAATTCGGGCCGGACTGGACCACGGGTCAAAAAATTAGGTCCGGGCTCAAGGGGTGGCGAGCCTGGGCATTTTTCTTTTGTTTTGTTTGGTTTTTTTTTTTTTTTCTACAAAAATTCTATTATTTTCCAAAAAAAAAAAAATACAATGGGCCTTGAGTGGGCCTTAAGCAGGTCGATGGGCCGATCCACGGGCCGAGCTTAAAAATAATGGCCCAAGCACAATTTTTGGGTTGGGCTCAAGCCCAGGCCTAAACGGGCTAGACCCATCCCAAGCCGCGAACAAGTTTTGGGTCACCCACGGGTCGCAGGCCATTTTTATGCTCCTTGCGCGCAAGAATTCAAAAAATAAAAGAAAATATATATATATATATATATCATTAAGAAATAATCAACCTAAAAGTTTATGCATATCAAGAATTTGGGAAACTAGTTGCATAAATCAGTCCAAACATTGGATAGTATTTACTCAAATAAAGGTTTTAAGTTTGGTTTGGTAAAATGCATCTAAACTGAGGTTTAATATCTGCATTCAAACAAGGTTTTCTCTTTAACAAAAACATTCCCAAACTATGTTTGGATTTTAGATTTATTTAAAAAAAGAAGAAGAGAATTTAAATAAATAAATTTAGCTTTCTTTCAGTCCAACAAACATGGCCTAAAAATTTTGAAAAAGAAAGGGTTTGTTGATTGGTTGCTGATTGAAACATTGGGTAAAATTCACGCAAACAAATTATTATCATAGAATTATTTTCTTAGTAAACATCAAATGAAAGGAATTAGGAAATTTATGAAATTTCAGTAACACCACCAAAATTTTCTTTTCTTTTCTTTTCTCCTTGTTATTTCCCACCAAGAAACCTCTCATTCTAAGAAGTCCATACATATAATCAAATGAAACAAAATTCAATAAATGCAAATTTTCTCAGGAACCAAACAGAGAGGAGAAGAGAAGCATACCATGAAAAGATAAGCAAAGAGGATCCACACAGCATTGTTCTGATTAAAAATGAACTCAAGAACAAACCCAATGATGGTGAGCTGAAGAAAAGCCCTGAAAATTGAATAGAGCATTTCAGTCCCCAAACCTAGCCTCTGCATATAGGATAAAATCACAGCAAGGAGCACAAGAACCAAGGCCAGAACTGGCTTCACCATCCCTTGCATGTAGTTCATGAACCAAGCCCAATCTATCTCCATAGCTCAAAATCAATCACAATCCAATTCAACACTACAATGATTTCAAATTCAAATCTGGCAATGCGAATTGGGTTTGTAAGGAAAGAATGAAAGAATGAAAGAAAATGGTGTTGGAGCCAATGATGAATGGGAAGGGGGTTTATATAGAGACGGTGTAGATAGATACAATGGATGTGTATGTAGAGAGAGAAAGAGAGAGAGAGAGAGAGAGAAAAGACCTTCCCCTGATGGGGAGAATGGAGTGAGAGACATCTCGTGGAGTTTTTCTTCAGGAAAATAGTGGAAGGTACGTACGACCGAATACGCTGTGTCACTGAGGGATAGCATACACGCAAGCCACGCAAAGCATGTTCTGTGGGGCTACTATTAGTTGTGAGGAAAATGAGTGACCCTTTTTTGATACCTTACAATTTTTAAAATGGTTCATTATTTTATGAATAATACTAGGTATTATGAAAAAGTTTTATGAAAATAATTATGAAAGTTTTATGATCCTTAGATTACACTTAAAATAAAGTATCACGCACTAATTAAGGTAATTCAAAGGTCACAAATCTTTCATGATCATTTTCATGAAAAAAAATTTATGATCCCTAATTTTTCTCTACTATTATATATGTATAGGGTTTATTTATGTATATATGTGATTTATATTATGAGTGGCGTCGATGACTTTGGGGTTGATGGGATTCTCAAAAAAAAGAGTTTTTATCATTGTTGTAGTTGTAATTAGCAGTGATATCCGTCTGTTGGCTGATTGAATTTGTTCAATTTTATTTTATTTTTTAAGATTCGAAAATATTATTTTAGGTTAATATTTTTAATTTGAAATATTAATAGACCAACCTTGAAATTCACATTTTCAATTCAGCTCAATTTGATCCAATCTATTATTAAATTAATTAATTATTTATTTATTTTTAATAAATTAAAAAATATATATTTTTGTTAAGATCTAAATTTTATTTTTATTTATTTTATTAAAACTCACATTTGTGGTGGTGCGATTGAATTTATTCAAAAAAAAATCAATTTATAATAATGTCAATATATTTATTTAAGAAATATAATATGTGTCTGAATTTAATTATAGAATGATTTAATTTTTTTAACATATAGTCTGATGGGTGAGGTTGAAATTTATATTTATATTTTAAACCGGACTCGTGTAGATATAGAGACCTAATGTTTGGACCGAATTGAGCTTGGACAAACACAAATTACCTGTTGGCCTTTCTTGAACCCGACTTGACCCAACGTTGGTCTGCCCCTAGTTGTAATAGGGGGAATTATGCCTTTTTAAAAAATAATTATAAATACATTTAAAAATTTATAATTATAATTATTAATATTTATGAAATTTATAATTATTTTTTAAAATTACACTGATATATAATTTCCCCTTGTAATAATGGGGGATACTCCATAATTATTCAGAAATTTTAAAAAACCATATAATATTTGTAATAGGGGTGTTTTAACAAATAAGAATAATCGGGTATTCCTCTGCAATTATTCAATTTTTTTAAATATTATATAATATTTGTATTAGGGGATTTGAACATAAAATAATCGGTTGTTTTGATTGTTAACTTATTCATTAACACAAAATATATCATATTTATTGTTATATAAAATTTATAAAACTGTAAAATCAAATTGAATCAAATTAGTTTTTATAGTTCTATTCTAATCCGGTTCTACAGGTTTAGCAGTTCGGCTTTGATTTTAATTTTTTTGAAACTATATGAATGGGTTCAGTTTCTAGTGGGTTCAGTTTCTAGTTTACTTCAAACAAAACCAATCTGATTCATGAACATGCTTATTTTGTATTGTAATTTCTCAATGTTCAAAAATATTACATAAATAATGTTATATGATACTCTAAAAGCATTTAATAATTTTTTGGACAACAAAGGGTATTTTTACATGATGCCATTCTTGATTTTGATTTATTTATTTTGATATTTTTCGTAATAACATAAAAGTGCAATGTTATTTTACCTAATAAGAAGATAAAGATGTAAGAGAGGAAACAAAAGGAGACAAAACAAAACAATTAACATTTTCTAGCCACATTTTGTATTTAGTGTATTATGGAAAATTAATTAAAAAAATTAAAATAAAAATGTTTTGAAATGATTCTTTTGAACATTAATTTGTTGACTTAGTTCATAAATAATAGTGTTTAATAATTTAAAATTTGAATGAAATCAGCACATGTTAAAAATCATATCAAAATCACAAGATTTGAATTTTTGGAAGTGGATTTTAAAATAAGAGGGGGTGGTGTTTCCGAAGCATGATGTGAGTGAATGGTCTCCCATGAAGTTTAGAAAAAATATAAACAATTTTATAATTTTAATATAATTACACGGACTTCCCTTACAATAAGACTACATAAACATGATTAAAGCAGATGATATAAAGATAAAAAAAATAAACAAATAATTCATATTGTAAACATTAATGAAATTTGGATTTTACTAGTATATCATGTTCGGCTACATTGTCATTTTGTAAACATTGTACATAAATAATTTACAGTGGTTCAGAGATAAAAATATCAGATGATAGGTCGTGCATGTGAGATGGGGTTCTACCTGTGGGCCCAATCTCTTTGATATTGTTTGTAAATTATTATGTGATCGGTATTTATGTAAATAATTTCACTCAAAATAATACATGAGTAATGTTACAATATTATTTATTATTTGAGCGTGATATGAGTTATGTATAGAGAGACTCAAAATATGTATAGAAAATATAGTGGTATTGAAATTGATTTTAATTTCAATGCCACATAATATAATTTTTATACATATTTCGTTTTTTAATTCTATATATCTAGTATTATTATTTTTAAAAAATCTGATAAAATTAATTGGTCACAATGATTTTGATAATAATAATAAATGTAACATGGTATTATTTTGTTTTGGGCACTAAATAGGTTGGTGTGGGAATGATATCTATTGGAACATATCAACCTAGGGAGGAACCAAATACAATAAATTTTTATTGGCTGTTCTTGAAATCTAAATTCTAGTGGGAAGGGTTAAACCTTGTTCAAGATTGTTCTGAACAATGAATATTTATCCATTTTTCTTTGCAACCAAACATGACCCATGAGAGAGAGTGTCCAAACCAAAACCATCTTTATAACATGGGAATATTCTAGTATTGTCCATTTGTCTTGTATTACATGTGTAAATATAGTACTTAATAAAAGACCAAAATTTGAAAAGAATAAGAAAAGTAATTAAAGGTTAGTTATGAGGCCGTGTCTCTCAAATGATAAGCAAATGAGACATGTTTAAGAATTCAATTTGACTCCATTCCTACGCGTTTTTAACACTTATTAATATATCATTATTATTATAATTAAAATTAATAATAATAATAAGCTCTGTACGCAACTCTTAAACCCAATAACAAGTTACACTTCCATTTTTTACTCGGACTTAAAAGGTCGGACTTTCCGGGTTTTTTCCTCTTAGATATTTTTTTAAAATTATTAATTTTATCTATTTAATTTCTTTAAATTAATTTTACACAAATAAATGGTTGTTAAAACTTGATTTGATAGCCAAAAGAGTCATTTCAAAAATTGTCATAGTTTAGTTTAGGAATAAAAGTGAAATTACAAGTTGGTTCTCCGGCCAAATTTGTCCTGTTTCAATTGTCAACAATAAACTTATTATTATAAAATATTTTTTAAAAAATACAATGCAACTACTTATACTTCTTTCAAAACATTTATCTAAAAGTCTCAATTTTTTTATTTTTTATTATCAAAACGAAAAAGAAATATATAAAATAAAAATTTACTCATAATTTATGAGTAAATAAGTCAACTTGTAAATAAATTTTCCTTTTTTTTTTATAAAAATGGTCAATTTTTTATTTAAAAGATGCATTTAGCGTATAAGGTCATAATATATATATATTTTTTAATTTTGATTAAATTTGAAAAGATTCCACTTAATAACCCAAAAAAGGAATTTTATTTTTTATTTTTGTGTCTTTTATTAATCTAAGTTTGGTCCCATTTTTTATTTAGGATAATTAAACCGACATAGATATAAGAATGTCTAAGAAGGAAAAAAAAAAAAGCATTGGTATATCAACCGTCCAAAATAAAAAGTTTTGACCTTAATTCTTTTATTTTAATGATGTTTAAAAAATCAGTTAAAAAAAATTGTGTATTTATTATGTTCAGATTTGTTCACGTAATATAATAATAATTGCCTCTTCACACTTTTGCTTGAATTCTAAAGTTTGATTGTTTTTTTCTTTTTTGTGTTTTTTTTTTTTTTTCAGTAGTAAAATTCATAAAAAGTGAGAATCACATAAGAATTATTCAAGACCTTGACCATCTCTAATATTCTTAATAAACAGTTGAAAGTTTTTGATTCAATGAACCAACTTTGACTAGACTTGAATAACAATTTATTAAATTAATTAAGTCCGTTTGGCAAGAGCTAAACGAAATTTTTTTAGTTATTTTAGCCACAAAAAATAAAATAGGTTGTTTTAGTCACAAAAAATAAAATATCACATCCAACCCATAATCATTACATTCTTCTCTCACAAAAAAAGTCAAAAAGTCAAAAATTCCTTCTCAAACTAAACTTTTTAGCTCAGGCTAAAAAAGCTAAAAAAATTAAAAAGCTAAAAAGTCAACTCACTTTCTAAACGGAGTCTAAAACTCATCTGCCAATAGAGCAATTATCGTGTTTCTTGTGTTGCAGTTTCTTAATGTAGTAATCCCATTGGAGAGTTTGATAGGAGAAAGTTGGACAAGAGAGACTTTTCTCCTTTGTTTTGTTTGTTTGTTTGTTTTTTTTTTTTTTTTTTTTTTTTTTTTTTTTTTTTTTTTTTTTTTTTTTTTTTTTGTAGTTGTTATGTTCCTTGTAATTTCTTGGTCACAATATTTAATATGCATGAGTCTCCCACACTAGACTCAAATTCACGCCATTCTGTCACCAAAGTAAATCACCGCCTTCAAATGGTTGTTAAACAACAAATTATGAAGTGTTGGTTTATGGAAAATATTTATTCTGAAGCCAACACTATCACACTCTAATTAGTGATTTACTGTTGGCAAAATTTATATTCTTAGAGCAGGCTTGATAAATATTTTTTTAACAATTTATATATATATATATATATATATTAAACTTTTGGGTCATATTAAGCAAGAAGACCT